TCACTTGTACTATGGAGTTTCCAATTTGAAGAAATGCCACCGATGATTTACAGTGCTCCTACTTATCTCAAAGAGCAAACGGCTACCCTGATGAGCTGTCATTAACTCGTCTTACCAGTTTATTCCTGTAAATGATACTGGACACGTGAGATATCAACGAATTGTGTTTTGTACTGAAAGGTAAACATAGTGCTATCATCTGCAAGAGCGCTACGGTATACACTTCAGTAGATAGCGCAGCCGCATAAAGCGCAACATTGCGGGGCCTGACTTGTTGGGCATAGAAATAAACGAATGTAGCACTCAAAGAAGAGGAGTACCATGACGCCGCAATTGGCTCCATCTGGCTGGCGTGGCTTGGTTTCCTTCTTGAGCCTCATGTTGGCACGCAATTCTCCGAATAGATCCTTTAGTAAATCATCGCACATGCCGTAATAATTTGTCTTCGTAGCTTGCAATGGGTCGAATATTGTGACTGATCTGGTTTCAGGGCGAAAATCAAACACAATCCCACACCAGTGATTGTTATCCACGTGTAACCCCATCAATACCAGCTGATTGGCGGAATCAAAAGGAGTACCACTGCGTATAACGCGTAGTTTATCTTCTCGGTCGTGAAACCGATGAAATATCGGATCGATAATTCTCACTTTTAGGTTTTCCTTTTGAAGTAGTACCAGCCCTTGAGCCATGCATGCATCATCTAACCATTTATTTCCACGTAACGTGAGTAGCGAGAGTGACGATAGAGAGCCAAACGGTGTACGCGGTCCTCCGCGCAATAATAATGTCTTGATTTTCTGCTCACGCATACCGATGTCATCACTCGCGCCGTCCAAAAGTTCATCTGGCAATGACAACCGTTTGTTGCTGGTATTGACAGCCCAAACCACAGTATCTTCCACGTCCGTAATGCACTTCAAAGCACGGTGCCAGCGATCCATCGCGTTGATATCCCTTAGTTGATAGATACCAAAGCGAGGTACTCGTACTCCTACGCCATCTTCGCCACAGACCACAGGTACGGCTTTCCGAAACTGCTGAATAGCACTCTGTGCTTTCGTCACAAACCACTGCGGGAAAATGTAGCGAATGTCCTTTTCGCTCTCCTCGGATGTGAAAATTCCAGCAATAGCCTTCTTAGATTGTGGGACCGATCGTTCCGAGAGCGACTGCGTCGACGACTTGATATCAATGTAGCTGTAGTCCCTATCCAGAAGTTTGACGAGATTATTTAGGCTCGGTACAGGCACCAATGTTCCTTGAACTAATTTTATCGCCTTTTCCTTTCCACGAGTCATGCGCTCCTTCTTCCCGGACACTTTCTGCTGTTTTCGCACTTTAGGGTGCCCACGGCTCTTCGCACTTTTACTGATCTTGAATGTCGCCGGTGTAGATGTGTCAGAGTTCTCGCTAGCCGAGCTTGTGGGTTGTCGCTTCGACAGGATGCTTGTTGGCGCCGTTTCTACATCCTTTGAGCGATTGGTATCTTCAGTCACCGTAGGTACAGATGAACCCTTCTGAGAGCCTGTAGGCACTCCATCAGTACCTGTAGCCACTGCAGCTTTTCCTGTGGTACCTGCAGCCACTCCGCTGGTACCTGAAGCCACTGGAGGTGTTCCTGTGGTACTTGTAGCCACTCCAGTTATATTTGACGTCACGGTATTAATACTCCCTGGCACAGCATCTGTAGTTGTAGTCTCAGTATCCATAGCGTCGCACAGGTGTGGGTCTGTTTGCGGCACGTCATCAGAATAGTCAGGACTTTGTTCGAGAATTTTGGGGGAAACAGGATCCAATTCTTGATCGGATGTTGCGGTGCCGCTTGCATCGACAGCAGAAGGTAGGTCGTACGAAGAAATCGATAACTGAGAAAGTGGGTCAATCCATTGACCTTCACGACCCACGAACGGTGCAACCCCGTCCTTGATGATCTCCTCAAACTTGTCCAACGCTGCCAGCATCTCATTGAAGACTGCTGTACCATTACGGCTCATAATGTCAGCGATCTGAGTACCGCGTCGACAAGCCGTACTGAATTAGGTGGTGCCATTGAGAACCTTGTGTTTTCTTGACACCATCATCGACTCACGGATTTGGAAGGACTTGCGTGCGATCTGATCTTGGAAGGCGTCTTCCTCTTCAGTAGGTTGATTCAGCTTACACGACAATCTCCATCGCTGGGCAATGTGCCGAAGCGGAATTACATTCTTACCATTGCTCCGTCTCCAGTACATGACGTGACGACAAGGAAGAAGCGTGGTATGCATGAAAACGCAAGAGCAGCGATATACCTATCATTCGTACCAATACAAAGACAATTAGTCAATAATTAAGATAATATTGCTAGCATCAACTATAAAACTTACCGACGTATCGACATGATAGGCGTTATTGTCGCTGCCGCACGATACGGTGAACATGTTGGGCGTCACTTCGGTGACCTCGTAGTGGGTAGCTCGGTCCTTTGCAATCCAGTACTGTTGCTCAATCTGACGGTAGGTGTGTGGGCTCACCTCCTGTGAAAGTCGCTCCAGCTCTTTATCCGCGCCCTGATATCGCATGTAACCCACCGCTGTCATATTTTTACTGTATTCCATCTCTGCAACTGCCTGCAGAAATATCAGTGTATCCACACATTCGTCAAGAGGCATCTCAGGTTTCAGGATTTCCTTAAGATGCCCCCACGATGCCTCCAAGCTATCGCATAACACACAAACGTTAGCGTCAAATTAAATACAGAAGCCTTAACTCCATAAATTCTTACCGGTTATTTGTGTGATTTCCAAGATGCGGTACGTCTGAACGGGCGTAGAGAGCCCAACGCTCCTTCTGTTGGTCCCAATTCTTCAAAAAAAAACGGAGAAACGGGTGCTTTGGGTCTGGGATCGCGTCCGTAGAGCGTAACTGAACGTTATCCAAGAGGAAATACAGGTACTTGAGATACCTTGTGTAATCTTCACTTGTGGTTGCTGTTCTCATCATATCCACTGCGTCTTCTACTTGATCCATGTCGAAGCTGCTTGGCCCTCCGTACTCACTTTTTGCCATCTCCGACCGGATGTATTTCTTGAGATGGAAGTGACAGAGAATCACTTTAATGTTTGGAAAATGCGCCTCCAAAAGGCTCAGCTCACCCATATCTTTGTCGATCACGATGACACGAATCTCCTCCCACGACGGATTTGAAAACTTGAAAGATTCGATCGCATCGGTAAGACACTCCACACTCTCATTTTCCATTATGCTGTGCTGCACATACTGACCCTAGGCACGCAAACGGTAACATTAGTACCTTTCGGTACCTACAGGTACATCTGAGGGTAACTCTTGTACATTACGTGTCTATAGTCACCAACAGGTACCTCTAGACACGTAGACTTACATGGCCGTACACATCATGTATCATGAACGAGAATAGCTTGTACCTCGAGTCGTTCGTGTTGTGCGTCGCGTCGATCAACAGCACCTCCGGAAAAGCCTTGAGCCAGCGACGCATCTGGCGCGTCTGCAGCGTGATTGTCTGCGCCACAGATTTGTCATCAACAAACACAGAAGCTCGGTTACCCCGCCGTCCACAAAATTCCCGCATTAGAGATTCTAGTCACTGCTCTACGGTTCTGGAACCGCGCCGCTTCTCTCTCATTCTGGCAACCATGTTGTGGACGTCACGGAGCGTCACGTTCTGACCTTTAAACGGATTCATCAGAAATAGAAGCTAAAGCAAGACGAAAGTCATGTATACGTACCCGTCTTCTCGCGCAGAAACTGCATGATCCGCTTGGGTTTCGAACCCGACGCTTGCAACACGTCCACGAACGCAAGTAGCATTGAAACCTCGACACGCCGCACCGACGAATGGTTCTCGTACACAGCTCGGTCGACGCGATGATTATGGCTGATGCTGTAGCCAGTAACGCGCACCATGAATTTCTGCTTATCTCTGTTCCACGTCACAGCAGCCTTGATATCCGCCTTGCACTCAGTCGATTTGCCGAAGTAGCTCTTTCGTTGACCAGTACTGCGACTTTTTCGACGCCATCCGTGCGTGCAGATAAGTTTTATCCAATAGGTTTTGAATTCATCTGGGATAAGCGAGGGCGGTGAATCGGACGTCTCTCCTGATGTGTTGTCAGCAATAGCTCTGATCTCCGTGTTACGACGGGCCACCGACGTCGAACTACGGAGTCGAAAGAGCTGGTGTGTCCTCTCCTGATACTCGCCCATGTAGCTGTTGAATGCGTCCCAGTTTTCATGCCATTCCTGGTCGATTGGTGAGGCCTCCCACACGCTGGCGGATGGCACGTGCGCCTCTGGTTCGCTTTCACTCATAGACCGTCTCCTGTGCGGTTACAATATCTCTTAGCAACAATAACAACCAACACAAGCGCAATAACTTAACGTACACAAATAGCGACCCAAGGTCGACTTGAGGCCTAGACGCGCGAAAATCCAAATGAGCGGCTCCAAATGAGCGGCTCTGAACGTGTTGCGGAGGGACCTAAAGGGGGGTGTCTGATTTCAGATTTTTGAAATTTTAAAATATCTGGTAATATATCAAGGTAATTTACCGATTGGGTACCGTAAAAGTCCTTTTAGGTGCGATCTCACTCAGTGCCTCTACTGTATTCACTCTATAAAAAATGCTAACTTAAGAAAAACTGAGCTACTATTGATATTTGATCTTGACGAATAGAACTATAACTATCAAAAAAAGTCATATGATATTTGGCTACCAAACAAACAGAGTTAAAAACTTCGTTTTGAAGTGCGAACAAATCATCATTTGGCTATCGCACACTGAGTTTTGCCAAATGCACCTCGCGGGATATGGCCGATAAATCTCACAACAACCTGCTCATCGACCGCACAATTGGACAAAACAACAGTGGCGCTGTATTTACAGATCCTGCAGTGATCGTGCGCAATGCACGAGTGGATTCATCTGCTTGGCAGCAAGAAAGGCAGGCGCAACAATAGTGCGACACTGCCTTGTCGGCTCAATCTGCCGAGTTGTTCGCCATTCTCGGCGGGTTTGAAGTATCTGGACTTCGACGCATTATCTCGCGAAGTTTAAGATCTACGATACAGACAACAGCTTGGGAGCAACAGAAGAAAGCCGAGCAGTTCTGCAATTGCTGTTTGAACGCATCTTTAGTGCGCACGAACTCCGCTTCTCGGCCGTCCTCGGCCGTGATTGCCAATCCACTTGCAAAGGGTGGTCCAGTAATTACGACCGCATCAAGGAATGCAACATCCGGGGCTGCCGGAACCTTGCCATCGGCAATGCCGATGGCAAGGTGCCGATTCGGCAGACCATTGTGCGCGGCACACGAATCCTCGGGCGTAGGCAAGGTCAGAATATGAGCCAGGACTTCCCGTGTTGTTAAGGGGTTAGCCAGGTCCCTTTAACAACCTAGGCTATCCGGGTGATGGGGCTACCACAAGCAAAGGGGTCACCTCCGGCCCCGACGTCTCGCTACGTTATCCTTCTTAAAAACGAAGAGATGACATTCTGGATCGAGGATCAACGAACCAAAATCAATGGCACGTTTCCGCTCGTTCAACGGGTCGATCCGACTACATAACAGCTACCAACGCTACAGCGTCTGATGCCGTGAATGTAAATGACGGAGCTAACCTGAAAGCGGTCATAAAAGATTAAATTACCTGTAGTCAGCGCCAATTGTTTCTGCTACACAGTGGTGCTCTTCAACTGATTTTACTGCCAAAACCGAGTGACAATTGATCTTGATCAGACTCTGATTTCAGAGATCTTCGATTCGAGAATGATACATCGTGCAAGTACATGTATTAATAGTAGACGATTCGTTTACAATCATGTCTGCGTTGACATATTAGCTTGGACACTTTGAGCACACACACACACACGCACGAACACTTCTAAGCTGACGGAGCTCTTTAAATTGAATAAGTTTCAGTTTTGCGGCATTCAAATTGGTTATTGGATTCCAATAGTTTCTGTGATTGGAATCCAATCACAGAAACTTGCTGACGCGAAAAAGTGTCCCAGCGAGCTCTTTGAGTTGGCGTGTAGTGGTGGCACAATCACTGGGGTTGTCGGAAGGAACAGCGCCATCAGTAATGGCGGGCCGCCATTGGCGGCACCGCTTTGAGCGGTCTGATTAGGAAGAAAACCCGGAATGTATCTGTTTATGCTATATGATAGGTTTGAACCTTCACTCCTTCTTTCTCAGCCAATAATAAGCGTGCTCGGGTGACAACTCAATAAAAGAAACGAAACAGAAGAGCGAAGAAGCAGCGAGCCACGAGCAGTACGCTTCCGATCGGAGTATCCCCAACGCACCCGAGAGCCCCACACAGTCCCTGTCGATTCCAAGCACCATGACGGCCCACGTGGACACGAACAAGAACGTCAATTGGATGGACTCACGTGGCTTCTGGACATTTTACATCATGCTATTGGCCTCGTTGTACATGGCAATGCCCATCGCCTTCCCTACCCACGGCGATGCCCTCACTGCAGTGAATGTCATCCACGGCGTGGTATGTAGCCTGCT